AATTTAAAAGCACCCCAGAGCTCTCCTCCAACTTGCACTGCTTATAACCTGAGGGAGAATCTCATTCATCCTGGTTCTCGGCTGAAAGGGGAGTCCTGAAGGTTGAAGAAAGCCGCTTGCACGCGGATGAGACATCGCCCTGGAAGACAAGGATGAGGGCATGCAAATGAGCAACAAGCGAAAGTGCATTTCACAGGATGGGTATTTAACACAGCCCTGCAGCCTGAGGGACAAGGTCCCCTCAGGAGTCCAGGGCTCCCCTGCCAGATCCAGCTTGCTTTCCTGGGATGCCAGGGCGCCTGCTCACCCACGAGGGGAGGTGGGCCAACATTAAAGGCCCCTGGGGCTGCGCTAGCCCACCAGGTGATTCCCAGCCCCTCCCGCTCCCCCAGGGCAGTCAGAGGGGATGTGCTTTGAGATTTGGGATGTGCCTTGAAGCCAGGGAGCATGCACTCTGGCCGGGGACTGGAAACCAGTGAACAAGGAGTAGGCAGAGGCCAAACAGAGACTTGTTGAATGAACACAGTCTTGCTTTTTTTTTTTCTTGCTTTTACTCATCAGAAAAACAAAACAAACAGCAAAATAGAAACCATTAGAGGACAGTGGCTAGAAAAAGAAGCTTAGCATGTATTCCTTTTAAGTAAAGATTTACATTCTTTTTATTGGAAAGTCAGATATACAGAAAGGAGGAGAGACAGAGCGGAAAATTTGTCCACCAATGAACTCTCAAAGTAACCACAATGGCTGGAGCTGAGCAAATCCAAAGCCAGGGGCCAGGAGCCTCTTCCGGGTCTCCCATGCAGGTGCAGGATCCCAAGGCTACAGGCCGTCCTGGACTGCTTTCCCAGACCACAAGCAGGAAGCTGGATGGGAAGCAGGGCCACTAGGATTAGAACCAGCGCCCATATGGGATCCTGATATGTGCAAGGCTAGGACCTTAGCTGCTAGGCTATTATGCTGGGCTCAGTATGTATTCCTTTTTTAAGAAAAGAAATGTATCTTATTTATTTGAAAGAGTTACAGAGAGGATGGGAGCATGTGAGAGAGAGAGAGAGAGAGGAGACAGAACTGCAGAAACAGAGAGAGCTTTTATTCACTGGTTCACTCCCCCAATGCCCACCAAATCCAGACTGAGCCAGATCAAAGCATTCATCCATCTCTGCCATGGTGGACCCTCTTGCTGCTTTCCTAGGCGCATTAACAGCTGGATCAGAAGTGGAGCAGCCGCGAATCAAACCAGCACTCGGGCAGCAGGGTGTTGATATCACAGATGGAGGCTTAACCTGATGAGCCACTGAGCCGGGCCCCAGTACCTATTCGTTAGAATTCACACAAGCTAAGTTCTACTCCAGGTAGCTTTTAGTCAAATGTTTACTTTGGAAACAGGCAATATACGGCAGGTAAGTGGCAGAACCTTCAATTAGCTTGCCGACAGACTGGGCAAGACCAAACAGCAAAGCCACACACCCTAGGCAGTTCCAAGAGAGAACCCTTCTTTTTTCTTTCTCCCCAAATCAAACTCTAGCCATCTCAACCTGGGCCAGTCCTGGGTAACCCCAGGTGTCTGTCACCCAAGCTACGACACAGAGCCCGGCTCTCCGGTGGCCGGTGACGCACCACGCTGGCTGAAGACTGGAACCACCTGAGCAGCTTTGAAAACAACCGCAAACGACCCCACAGGAGTCAGGCTAGACCAGCTGGCTCAACACCTCTGGGTGCCCTCCCCAGCCGCATCTGTCTGGCGGGGAAGGGCCAGATGAGCAGCCCACTTGAAGACAACTCCACCTGGCGGGCAAGGCGTCTGAGACTGCCCAAAGCCACTCATGGGAAGCCCCGTGACTGCTTAGAGGCAGCCACTCGGGGCCATTCTGTGCTCAAGGCTGTTGCACGGGGGACTTCCACCCGGGCACACTCCCTGGTCCCTGCCTCCCACTCTCTTCTCTGGCAGGGGTGTGGGAGCAGAAGGGTTTTCGCCCCTTTCCTGCAGCTCTGGAACTGTCTTTCAGCCTCCACCCCAAGCCCTTCCATCCCCTCCCCCGTTCAGTCTCCCCACACCTCCTGCACCTGTCACTTCAGCTGCCCCTAGCACACCTGGACACCCCGGGAGCTCCCCTGAACCATGGCAACAACAGCAGGGAAGTTTCTTGGTTCAGACAGAATGAGGCAAAGCCTGTGGAAGGAACTGCAGAGAGAATGCGAGAAGAACATAGAGGTAAGGAGGAGAACCCTCCCCACCCCCAGCCAGGGGCCGCTGCGCTGGACTGGGCGCTCACGTACGTGGCCCCTGCGGCTCCAGGGCCTTCTGGCAGCCCCCTCCTGGCTGCAGCCTTTGGCTTATTTTCAGTGCCCCAGGGACCCCTGTTCGCCCCCGCCCACACACACATTGTTGGGGGAAGCTTCCCAGGTGCTCCCCACGTGGCTGGGAGCACAGGTGGGTTTGGGAGAGAGATGAGTCACGCCGCCCCTCCTGGGGTGTGGACTGGCATCTTGGTGCCCTGGTCCCAGCTCCAGTTCTGCCCGTCCCCTGCCCACCTGTGCCTGGCACCAGGACCCCACTTTCCTCATAGGCCCCAGGGCCACTCCTGGCCGGGATCTGTCTGCTGTGACGCTCACACTCCGCAGCAGAGGTATTGCTGTTCCTCATTCCAGCTTTCTGATATTGCACACCTGAGGAAGTATGAGGAAGGGCTCAGATGCTTAGGTCCCCACCACCATGTATGCTGTGGGCTCCTGGCTTCTGCCTGGTCCAGCAAGGTCGTTCCAGGCATTTGGGGGAAAAAAAAAACAGCTGGCAGAGATCTCTCTCTCTCTTTCTCTGCAATTCAATATTTCCCATAAGATAGGACCAATGTAGTAGCCTAGCAGCAAAAGTCTTCACCTCGCACGCGCTGGGATACTGTATGGGCGCCGGTTCTAATCCCGGCAGCCCTGCTTCCCATCCAGCTTCCTGCTTGTGGCCTGGGAAAGCAGTAGAAGACAGCCCAAGGCCTTGGGATGCTGCACCTGCGTGGGAGATCTGGAAGAGTCTCCTGGCTCCTGGCTTCAGATTGACGCAGCTCCAGTCGTGGTGGCCGACTGGGGAGTGAATGAGCAGATGGAAGATCTTCCTGTCACTTCTCTGATGGCTACCACGGTAACCGGAGAAGGGCGGAGGAGTTTGCCTCCAACCAGACCCTGAACGGATGGCGGAATTCTGGCAGGCCCCTCAGGCGGTAAGACCACCGTTGCACAATGAGGGGCATAGATCCATATCCCCCCACCAATAATGGCCGAGGCGACCCCCGTCTGGGCTTCCGTGTCAAGGAGAGTTTAAAAGGTCACCTTCCCCATCTCTTCCACGCTATTCTTCCTCTCCAGCCCACTCCTTCACATCTTTCTGCTGCATGGGGAAGGGAAGCCCGTGACCGTGAGTCCCTGAAATAACGGCCATCTAAATTCTTTTCATATATTTGGCTGAATTATTCTTTCCCTCGTGGTCAGCTAGTCTAACGTTTTGGCCAGCAGCGAATCTAACATTCTCCTCTCTGAATATCTGACTTTCCAATAAAAAAGAAAATAAATCTTAGAAACAAACAAACAAACAAAAAAACCCCACAAATAAATTAAAATAAAATTCAAGGAATAAAATTCCTTGAATAAATAAAATTCCATCTTCAGGAAGTCCCTACATGTCCATTTTATGAAAAAAAAACTGTCTGGACTTAAAAATTCTTTTTTGCATCTAAACAAACTCTTTTTTAAATTCCATTTTCCACAAACTTTGAGATACATCGTTTAAAAAGCTTTCCTGCATGTGAATACAGTATCACCAAAGCGCCACCAGGGGGCGCCCTAGGCCCAGGCTTCATCATCAGCATCCTGGGTCCCTGTTGTATGCCAAGTCTGGGATGTGCCAAATTTGGGAAGACGCCCAGCACTTCCAGAAAACTTTTATCTTTTTCTTTTTTTTTTCTTAATACTTACTTATTTGGAAGGTAGAGTTACAGAGAGAGGAACACACACACACACAGAGCCAGCGATTTCCCTTAATGGTTGCAACAGATGGGTTTGGCAAGCCAGGTGTCCCACATGGGTACAGGGGGCCCAAGCTCTTGGGCATCTCCTGCTGTTTTCCTGGGAATGTTAGTAGGGAACTGGATCAGAAGCCATGTGGGCAGGACTCAAACTGCTGCTCTGACATGGGCTGCTGGTGTCTCAGGTTGCCCACGATTTAGCCCCAAATCCAGGCATTCTGATGTCGGTGCCCTGCCCAGTGTCTTGCCCTCCAGGCCAACACCCCTCCCACCCTGGGCTTTCCAGGAATGCATGTGGCCTTTGCATGTGTGTGGTCAGGGCCCACCGGGTGTGCTCAGGACTGAGCCAGTCAGCTGTGGCGAAGCAAGCATGCATTACCCATCCCCAGGTGTCCTGAGGAAAGAGGGTGACAGCCCTTCCCGACTCCCTGCTGGAGGCATGGTGAGGAGGGCAGAGGGATCCTGTGGATGAAAGAGAGAAAGCTCAGATGGCGGAACATGAGGTTCTGCCACGGGCAGAGAGCAGAGGAATACTTCGTTGCTTCTTTCCCTGTTGAGTGTTGCCAGGTGCAGCCCTCACTGGCTCCACGGTTGCTTGACTCGGATGATAAACCCTGAGGGAGGTGGTGTAGAGTGTCAGAGGCTGCCCAGCCCCATCTCCCAGGGAGAGCCAGGAGTTAGGACCCAGGGACAGGGTGCAGCCCTGCCCAGCCCCATCTCCCAGGGAGAGCCAGGAGTTAGGACCCAGGGACAGGGTGCAGCCCTGCCCAGCCCCATCTCCCAGGGAGAGCCAGGAGTTAGGACCCAGGGACAGGGTGCAGCTCAGTTGCCCAGGAATCCACACATTCACATACAGCACCACACAGGACGTCTGGCTTCCCCTGGGCTTGCCCGCCAGGCGTGGGGCCACTTCTCTTTCCAAAGCCTCCTTGTGCAACAGAAATGCTCTGTGGTTCCCAAGGAGTACACGCATCTGCTCGCCCTGCCATGACGCTGCTGGATGTCATTCTGGTGTTTGCTGTCCTCCGCCTCCCTACCTCGGGTAAGCTCCACTTCAATGAAAGTAAAAAAAAGCAGTGAGAGAATTGCTTTAGCAAAGGTGGCAGAATTGTCGTGTTGACAATGTTAGGATTGGAAAATGTGATGTGCAGACAGCTTTAGGACCGAACTGCAAAGCACGGCTCCAGTGAGCATGTGGCTTAGCAAGCTGTGTGGACAAATTCCAAAATGTGCGTGTTTTGTCATTTATTGTGCTTCTCCCAATCCTTAGGGGCACGGCAAAAAGATGTCAGGTGGGAACATGCTATTGAACGCACTTAATGTCAGACTGTTTCGAGTCTTTAGTACAAAAATTTCCTATAGCAGCACTTTCATGTCGCCGCTACCAATAAGGACCCTCTCTGTGAGCAGATATTTAATTTTGTCCAGTGCACCCTGTATATCTATACAGATGTTTTAATACTTTTGTGTGTGCAAATAAGGTTAGTGTTTTTGGCTGTCAGAAAACTGTATATATATATGTGTGTGTGTCTCTATAAACATGTGTGTTTTATGGCTATTAGTTGATATGCAAGGATTATTAACCAAGAAAGAGGACAGATAAAAGAGAGAGCGAAAACAAAAAAAAAGAAAGAGGAAGAAGATGCTGAGTTTAAGCAATGGTGGCAGTTTGTTACTGCTGGTTTTCTGGGGTTTGGAATCTTTCACTGTTTTATGTAACTTGAAAACAGAAAATTCTTCTCTTTGAGCCAGAAATCATGTCAAGCTGGGGGCCAGACAGTGAGAGAAGCTTTGTCCCACTGGTCATTCACATGTATTACTTTACACATTACTTTATATATATATATATGTATATATATATATATATATATTTTTTTTTTTTTTTTGCCTCGTTGAACTGGGGCAATTTTCAAGTGGAAAACTGCAGGCACTAATATTGCCCAAGGCCGGGCATAAGTCGTATTCTTCAAAGTCACGGAGCTGTGAGGCACACCCGGACGGCATCATGTTGTCAAACGCGCCCTTTTCCTGTGTGGGTTACTCAGAAGCAGGCACTGGTGACTTCCAAGCAAGCCCTCTTTCAGACATCACTAGCTTTGCCAATCTGAAAGTGACTGCCACTGCCTACATGCTTCTGCCTGCTAATTGCCCCTGGGTCTGCTGCTTTCCCACCTGCACCTACCAGGACAATCTACTGGTTTTGAAAGACTTGATTGTAACAGTCTTTCCCCAGGGACTTCTCACTGGCGAGCAAGGGCAAGGACTCGGTGGTGGCACAGCCCCCTCTGAGCACATGGCAGGGACGCTACGCAGTGAGCTGCACGCGCCTGCTGCCAGAGGTTGGGCCCTAAGCTGGCTGCCTCTTCTCACCATGTATGACAAGTCTCATCCATGGTCACCAATCTCCCACGTGGGCACGTGTCCAGAGCCACCGAGCACTTTGTTTCGCTCTGTCACGTCTTTCCTGAGTGTCTTCAACAGTCACTTCTCCTGTGAACAAAATCGGGTTTAAATGATTCAAAACAACTTTTTTTTTTTTTCAAGTGACAAGGGGTGGCCTCTTCCCCAAAACCTGGAGTCCCCAGGCCATCTCTTGCACTCGCTCCCAGCGAGGAGAAGCTGTGTCATTCAGTAAATATTTACTGGATGTCTGCTGTGTCCTAAGTATGATCCCATGACCTGAGGATGTAAGAGGGAATAAAATAAAGTGGGCGCTTATCCCGGCAAGAATCCATGAAATGTTTATCATTTGGTTCCTCCCCCAGGGCTAACGCTCTGTGCTAACACAGGACAGGCTGCTGCATTTATCATATATGATTTTTTCTGGGGCCGGGGGGGAGACAAGGTGACAATGCAAGGCAAAAAACAGACTATACCAACCAAAAGTATTCATCTCCCGATCAAACTTTCTGGGCTCCAGTTTTTGGTTATTTCTTTACTCTCCTGGTTGAGGATAAAACAAAGAAACGAACAAATACTCTCTTGATTGAAACTGTAAGACGCAGGGGAACTTCGACCTGCTACATGTTGTCTGGTGTTGATTCTGGGTTAGGGTGCAGCTGTCAACATTTTGCAGAATAGGAGTGTTGATATAGAGGTGGAGGTGACCGCAGAAGGCTTCCCAGACCAAATGGACAAGCCCTAGGTTCCCAGGGACCGCTCCTGTGTCTTGCACCGGCCCCAGGCACCCCAGCCACCTTCCTACTTGCTTTCACACAGAGCTCTCGACTGTATGCAGCCGCCAGAGAGCCTAACCTAACCCGACACCACCTGGGTCCCCTTGTCCAAGTGCCCTCTCAGCTGCCACAGAGCAGCCGGCCAAGGTGCACCTCACATCAGGGCTTGCTTCGGCTTCTTTTCGGTTGCTCTCTTGAACCACCTTGAGTGACTGGTGGGAAGAGAAATCCTGAAGGCACCGGACATGTGCGCTGCGTGGGGGGCCATAGCCATCAGCCCACCCTGCTTTCTCTGCAGGCCGGAGCGGGTGAGGACTGAGTGCCTCACTTGCATAGCACACAGCCTGCAGTCGGGGCCAGATGGCATGGCCGACTCTAACCTGAGCCTTGGGCCTCTCGGGGTTAGGGACGTCTTCGCTGGAAGCTTGCTCTAAAGCGTGATGAGGCTGGCGAGAGGTCAGGTGCTCTGAGCCGGCAACAGTGCACCCCCCTGGAGCACTTACACAGCCTGGCTCCATGAACAGAAAATAAATAGCACAACGTAGCTCCCACCTCTGCCTCCAAGCTGCCTGCATGGCTCCCTGGCTCTCCCTCTGCCTGTGGAGCCCTCCCCGCTCCCGCCATGCCCCCCGTGGGACCCCCAGGGGCAATCGTGAGGCAAAGATGGTGCAGATGAAGATTAAGCAGACAGAAGAAGGAGGGGGCGGGGAAACAGGTGGAAAGGAACACGAAGAAGCAACAGAATTTGTCTTCCCACATCCCAAGAAGAGATGGCCAAGAGTTGGAACAGGTTAACAGTGTCCACTCTGGGGCCGTGGAGTTGGGTTGTACGGGCAGCATGCATGTGTGCGCGTGTGCGGGACACTACGTGGGCAGGCTGAGGGCAGGCTTGCAGGAGGTTAAGCACCTTGAGCGACAGTGCCCAGGGGCCGTGTCCAGGAGCGAGGTCCCCAAAGTCCTCAGTGCCAGATGCCACAGCAGTGAAGGGGGTGAAGGTGTCCCTGAAGCCAGGCCGGTGCTGCCTATGGTAATGATTCAATACCATCATCCTAGGCATTGCAGCACTTGGAAACCACAGTCAACGTTTTGGAAAACATAGTGCAAACCACCCAACAAGACCAGGCAGGAACTAGGGATGTGTGTCCACAGAGCTTTAGTGTCCAAACTGTTTTATGGCAATAAGGGGAAGGACCATGGGGAAGGCAAATAGTCATTTGCTTCCCCGTGCTCATCTGCAATGATAAGCAGGTGGCAAGAGTGCTGACATGTGAGAGACCACCGGCCGCTCATCAGTGGGTGACCCGGCCCTTCACATCCCTCCTTGACCCTGGAGGAACCACAGTATTTAACAGCTGTGAAGCAGGGCTAGAGTGGCCTTGGTTCACCCGGGTTTGTTGTCTCGGGGGGGGACTCGGTGGTGACCCTGCCCACCTAAGCCCTACCTGCTCTCCTGGGGTGGAGGACTGTGAATGGCCACACCTCTACCTCCCGCCACTGCTGTCTTGACCTTGTTGTGATAGAAGCTGGTACTCCAGTGTGGAATGTGGACATAGGAACTACCAGGTCACACCCCACAGTCTCTCTCTCTCTCTCATACACACATACTTTTTGAAAGGCCCTTATATGTGTCTCAGTGATTTTTTTAAAAAAAATGGTTTTCTGTGGCAACGCTTATGGTGCAGAACGAGCTGCCCACACATCCGGGGACTGACCAAGGAAGGAGTGTCAGGGAGGGCCGATTCCTCAGGAGGACATTCCAGCTCCAAGCTGGTGCTCACCCTCGGGGGCAGCAGGGATGGCTCAAGTGGCTGTTCCCGCCATCCACACGCAGGAGACCCTGACGGAATTCCCAGCTCCAGGTTTCAGCCTGGGCCAGCTACAGGTGTCACAGGTATCCGGGGAGTGAGCCAGTGGGTGGAAGCTCTCTCTGTTTAGCACAACGGACCATGAGAAGGGAAAGGAGGAATTGACAGGGGTGGGCAACAGTGTGTGGAGAACCTCTGGGCATGGCAGATGGAAAAGGAGTGGCTGCTGTGGGTCCTTTGGGATCAAGGTGTTCCCTCCAAGAAGGCACGACGCTGTTTTGAGCTGTGCATGTTGGGGGTGCAGGGTACACCTGCAGAGTGAGTTTGGAGAACACTGGGCTGCTCAAAACCGCCCTCGCTGAATCAGACCACTCGAGATTCTCCAAGTGCCCAACCAGCCGGTAACTCAGCGTCTCCTGATCCCTAACAGCCTCTGCAGGACTCAGTTCAATGGCTGACAATGAAGACGCCCTCCTCAGGCATTTATTCCAGGGATACCAGAAATGGGTTCGCCCCGTGCTGTATTCCAACGACACCATCAGAGTGCATTTTGGATTGAAACTCTCCCAGCTGGTGGATGTGGTGAGTCATCTTGGCACCAGACTTCCTTAACCTGTTAGTAAGTCTCAGCTTTTTTTTTTTTTTTCTTTCCTTTGTCTGGTATTCCCATTTCAAAGTTACTGTGAGAGAAAAGTCTGCCCTGAGTTGTACAGTAAACTTCCAATGCGACAACACTATGAGTGTGGGACCTTCTGGGCGAGGGGGCGGGGGTGTGGTGCTCCCTCGCTGTTCCAGGAAGAGGAGTGGGCAGCTGGTGGGCAGGGGGCTGGAAGTCAGAGCTGCTGCAGTGCTCAGAGGGCTCTGGCCATGCCCAGGCAAGGCAGGCCGGGGCTGACTGTGACCAGAGCAAGGGCCATTCCTGCTCTCCCTCAGCAGCCCCTGCTGCCCCTCTTGAGCTCAGCTCCCTGTATCTCCAACGCGCTCCACTGCTTCTCCTGCTGGGCTGCCACTTCTGCCATGATTATTTTCTTGGGGAAATCAGGGAAGTTCAACTCCCCTAATACAGCAAAGTGGTCGTGCTGTGGTCCCCCAAACTCCCACAATGCCCAGTCCCCAGCCCACCTCCCCACACGCACACATGCACACTTCATCGGCCCAGTGCCTTAGGATTCTTTGTAGTATTTCCAAAGGCAATTATTTGCACTCTTGAAGTGTCTTCTATTTGCATAATTGCTTATATAAATTCATATAAAATGTTCTGTGAATTCACATTATATAAACCTTGCCATAATAGCTATTGGTTTTCATTTTTGTTTTAAGCAAAATATGTATCATATTTAGAATCACAGTCCTCCTAGCTGTTCTGGAATTGATAATCTTCTGTGCTTCAAAAGGTGAGACTCAGGCAGATCTTTCTCATAAAAAGCCAAACACACACACACCCACCCAAAAAATGCCTTTCTTCAATTTTGATGACAATGTCTTTTTAACTGTCATTCTCTTAGGATGAAAAGAATCAACTGATGACAACAAATGTGTGGCTCAAACAGGTAAATTTCAGCCCAAGGATTCTTAATCTGCTGACTCAATAATTTGATTTCTTCTTTTGTGGAAAATAATCATCTCAGGAGGCTTAATGTGCTCCTCGGGACGGTGTTTGGGGCTGGCCGGGAAGGGTCCACCTCCCAGCTTCACCTTGTGAGTGTTGGAGGGAGGATCCTGGACACGCCTAGGCATGGGAGCGTGCTTGTAAAATTCCTGCAAAGTGGGATTAAAAGAGAAGTTTACCTTGTTGCAAGAGGTTTATAAAGCTACGCATGGTATTTTCATAGGACTCATTTTCCTTGAGCATTTTCAAAAATTTGAGAGAAACAGAGAGAGAGAGAGAATCATTCCCATCTACTGGTGCACATTCCAAATGCCCAAAGTGGCCATGCGGAAGCAAAAGCCAAAAACTCAATCTTGGTGAGGAATTTAAGCACATCAATGGCAGGGAGCCAACCGCTTGAGCCATCACGCGCTCCTGGAAGCTGTAACTGGGGATGAAGCCAGCCCTTGAACTAGGCACACCCATCTGGGATGGGCACACCCATCTGGGATGCAGGTATGCCAAGTGCAGTCTTCTTTTTGTAAGACACATTCATTTTTATTTGAAAGGCAGCGTTACAGAGAGAGAAGGAGAGACACAAAGAAATCTTTCATCTGCTGATTCTCACCCAAATGGCTGCAATGACCAGAGCTGAGCTAGTCCAAAGCCAGGAGATTGGATCTCCATCCTGGTATCCCATCTGGGTGCAGGGGCCCAAGCACCTGGGCCATCTTCCCATTGCCTTCCCGGGCACATTTGCAGGGAGCTGGATCGGAAGTGGAACAGCCAGACCTCCAACTGGTGCTCATGCAGCATGCTGGTATCACAGGTGGTGGCTTAACCTGTTATGCCACAACACTGGCCCTAAGCAGTTACTGATTTCCCTCCAAGCGTGAGACGTTAGGGCTTAGGAAGCTCAGAACGATAAAATAACCCCTCTGCCCACTCACGCTCTTCTCTTCTCCCCACCCACTTCCTCCTACACTGCTCTGTAACCACCTCTCACATAGACTCCAGCTCTCACGCAGAGTCTGCTGTGCTTTTCTTACGGTCTGGGAGATGAGGAGTTACTGCAGCCCAGGAGAACAGCATTAGACCTGAAGGGACAGAAGCCCTGGCCTCCTGGCACCTTAGTGACAGCTGAGTGATGACCCCACAACCCTGGTGGTAGCCTGGGGAACACCATCAACCAGATGAAATTCCAACCACTTCCGGCACTCAGAACAGAGCCGGGCAAATCTGTCGGAGTGGAGCAGGCTGACTCAGCTCTCACAAGAGGCTGGGTTCCATGCCTGGTGGGTCACGCGAGCCCTCTCGCTTTCTACTCCCAGGCACTTTCTGAGACGGGGCCTCCTATCACACGCACTTTACAGGCGTGGAGAGTCGAGGGGCCCAGCAGCATCTGCCCGCCTTGCCGAAGGCACCTGCTTGCCTTTCGGTGCCACTCACGACCCTGCTCTGCCAAGGCCACTCCAGAGTGGCTCAGGGAATTGGTCTAAGGAAGACACAGCGGAGAATGAAGTTGAGATTCATTCCGTCTCCCGTTCCTGCTGCGGGATTTCATGAGAATCTGAAAATGGGGAGTAACACATGATCCCAGCTTCACGAATAGGGTGTGGGGTCTGTGTCATAATGGAAATGAATATGTTCATAGGTGGAAACAGAGAAGGATGTCCTCATGCGTGCAGTACAAGGATGGACTCACAGCAATACGGCTAATAATCTCTTACAAACAAACAAATAATAAAGAAAAAAAATTTTTAAAGAAAATGGTTACGTAAGACAATAGACACTTGGGGTCAGTGTTGTGGCCTCGTAGGTTAAGCTTCCTCCTGCAATGCCTGATTCCCATGTGGGCACCGGTTTGAGGCCCAGATGCTCCACTTCTGATCCAGCTCCCTGCTGATGCTCCTGGGAAAGTAGCAGAAAATGGCCCACATGCTTGGATTTCTGCACCCATGAGGGATGGATGAAGTTTCAGGCTTCTGGCTTTGTCCTGACCTAGCCCTGGGCATTTCAGTGATTTGGGAGAGTGAATCAGTGGTTGGAAGATCTATCTTTGTAACTCTGCTTTTCAAAAGAAATAGGCGACTAAATCTTTTTTTTTTCCAAGATTTATTTATTTAGAAAGTCAGATATACAGAGAGAAGGAGAGATAGAGAGGAAGATCCTCTGTCTGGTGATCCACTCCCCAAGGGGTCACAAAGGCTGGAGCTGAGCTGATTTGAAGCCAGGAACCAGGAGCTTCCTCTGAGTCTCCCACTCAGGTGCAGTGTCCCAAGGCTTTAGGCCGTTCTTGACTGCTTTCCCAGTCCACAAGCAGGGAGCTGGATGGGAAGTGGGGCCACTGAGATTAGAACCAGTGCCCATGTGGGATCCCATATGGCGAGATCTTTAGCCGCTAGGCTACTGTGCCGACCCGAGGACTAAGTCTTAAAAATAATAATAATAATTCATTTCACATTTTTTAAAAGATGAGTCACAGTATAAGATATGTCTCTAAGGTCTCATGCTGACACAGAAATCATGATGCTGCCAAGAGAAGGTCCAAAGCTCCGAGGAAGGAAGAGGGTCAGCTTGGGTCTCACGGGGCAGATGGAAGGGCTGCAATGGGGAAAGTAGGAGATGAGGGCTGCCTAGACCGACAGCATTCACTCTGAGGGGACTTCACCTGGGTTCTCATGCACCTGGGAGCAAACCACACGAGTTCTGCCCCATCCTGCCGTGGGCTGCGATGATAAGGAAACCGAAACGCTTGCTTTCCTCTCAGACGCCTCCAAGTGCCCACTCATATCCCCACGGAGAACCTTCTTCTGTGCCCTTGGACAAAGTGCCTTGCGTGGTGGCACACGTGGCCGAAACGCAAGGCTTTCATCCGCGTTTCCGCACGCTCTATTTCCGTAGATCACCTCTGCTATATACAGACATTCCTCTTCGATCCCCTCAACCAAGGGCCTTTGTAAAGCACACGTCTGGTGACACGAGCCAGTTGACATGGAGCTATTTTTATGTTATTGATTGTAGTTGGCAAACTCATCTTTCTCCTTTGCACTTTCACAGTGTAACCAAAACCCTACAAACCGTGGGCATATGATAAATGTTGGCTCACAAAAACGACGTGAGAGAGGATGGAATGCCCTAGCCCTTGGACTCCACGCCAGCACAGCCAGCATTGAAAACACATCATTGTTAGCGAGGAAGCAGAGCAGGAGACTCACCTTAAAGTGGCAGGAATGTTAATCCCTTTGCTTAGATGTTACCACATGAATCGTTGCTATGACCATGAATGCCAAGTTCACAAACTCAGCAAGCATTTACTGAGCACCTACTCCATGCTGGGTACTGATGAGGGCATTGAAGTAGGCACTGTTGAGTAAGGGTGATGACAGGAAGCAAATAATAGCGCAAGGTGTCATCTGCATTTATTGTACAACTATTAATATTAATCAAAAGTTATTATTTACTTAAAAGGCAGAGTGATGGGCTGGCACTGTGGTGTAGCAAGTAAAGCCTGTTATGCCAGATCCCTCATGGGTGTGGTTTGATTTCTGGCTGCTTCTGATCCAGCTCCCCGCTGATGTGCCTGAGAAAGCAGTGGAAGATGGCGCAGACCTGAATGAAGCTCCTGGTTCCCGGTTTCAGCCTGACCAACCCAGGCCATTCTAGCACTCTGGAGAGTGAACCAGTAGATGCAAGATTCTCTCTCTCTCTTTGTCCCTCCCTCTACCTCTTTCCATTGCTCTGCCTTTCAAATAAAACACATAGGACCCAGCATGATAGCCCAGTGGCTAAATCCTCTTTTTGCATGTGCTGGCATCCCATATGAGTGCCAGTTCATGTCCTGGCTGCTCCACTTCCCATCCAGTTTCCTGCTTGTGGCCTGGAAAAGCAGTCCAGGATGGCTCAAAGCCTTGGGACCTGCACCCACATGGAAGACCTGGAGGAAGCAGTCAAGGATGACCCAAAGCCTTGGGGCCCTGCACCCACCTGGGAGATCTGTAAGATGCCTCTGCCTCCTGGCTTCAGATCAGCTCAGCTCCAGCCTTTGTGGCCACTTGGGGAGTAAATCAGCAGATGAAGATCTTTCTGTCTCTCTTCTCTCATTCTCTCTGTAAATCAAGATTTGTTTATTTATATTGGAAAGTCCAAATTTACAGAGAGAGGACTTTAGCCAGTAGGCTACCACTCCAGGACCCAAAATAAATAAATCTTAAACAAACAAACAAAAAAGTAAACAGGATCCCTAAGGAAACAAATCATAATCAAAGTAGTTATTACTAAAATAAATAAATAAGATACATACATTTAAAAAGAAGGATAAAGGCAGAGTGACAGAGAGAGGAAGTGGGAGAGAGACAAAAAACAACAATAAAAAAACCAACAACGGCTTAACTTGCTATGCCACAATGCCTGCCCATCATTTTAAGGAAATGAGAAATGCTAACTGACCTGATTTGATCATTCCATATGGAATACCTGTACTGAGTCATCACACAGACCTCATAAATATGTACAGTTAATATGAGAATGTAAAGACAGCTCTAAGTGGCCCTGGCTTCCCTGTAGTAGAGACACGGTCAGCGCTCCAGTCCCCACCCCAAGGCAGGTACCAGGACTGGAATGCCTGCTGAGGCCAAGGTCTGGCTCAGCTTCCGAGCACACTTTTAGAGCAACTGGCAATTCAGCCAAAGTGCTGGATGCCTCGCACAGCAAGCCGGCCTTGCAGGGGGCCTGCTCTTACAGGGGTCAGAAGAGCCCTAAAGATCTCAGCCATCTCCCCGGAAGTCAGCCGTCCATCACCTGCCCTGGCACCTATGCACCCCGGGCGTGTCTCCCACTGACACTCACCGCCTGATTTTTTCCTCTTCCCCCATCCCCAATAGCCTCAGTCTGACCTTGGCAGAGGAGGACTTTCTATTCAAGTGGGCAAGGGCCAGAGGCGTCCTGTCTCTCTGAGCCTCA